TTTGACTTGAACAATGCCCTTAACTCTCTTACAACCCTACCAAAAGCGTCCCACGCGAACAGTCCTACGCGGACTCTACACCTTCCTTTTTTTACTTTGTTTACTTTTGAAGCAATCGGGGTGCAAAATTGCAAACATAAAAATACTAAAAAGCTGAAATAACGTGTCATTCGAAATTAAAACTCATCTAAAGCCAATTTATTGAATTTTTCACAAAAGCGCATATTCACAAATATATATCCCATTTTATCAAAACCGCAAAAATGGTAAACAATAAGTAACTTTCCACAAAGTAGATGAACAGCATGCTAAGTAACAAAATAACAAAATGGAACAAACCCCATATCACAAACCAAAAGGAAAATTATGCATCGATATTGTGCTTTGATAAAATTAAGTCAGAAGAAAAACAGATCACAGGAATCGATAGCTACCATAAGCAGCAGAAAGAGAACATAGTAGGCGAGGATAGTGAAATGCAATATCAATCACTCTACAACTATGACAGCCTTCTAAGTAGGATACTAAGTTGAATCATATGAATGTGCTAATAACAAGGAACTAAGTAAGAACCACAGGAAAGAAAAATTTCTAAGTAATGTAACGGATGTTGCTGAAGTAGAAACCTTAAGCAAATTTGGCTAAAGTAGATAACTTGAGCGAATTTAGCTAAAGTAGTCAAATTAAGTGCATACACCGAGCCTGAAAAGAACCTACAAAATTTCAAAAATCAATGATGCTGCTGTTGTTGCTGTTGCTGCTGTTGCTGCTGCTGACGTTGTTGCTGCTGCTGCTGCTGCATTTGAGCTCTGGCCTGATCCTCTCGTATCTTTTGGGCTCTCAAAAATTCAGCATAGTCTATGTAACCGTCTCCATTGAAGTCGTCATCTCTAAAATCAGAAAGAGATCTTTGCTGAATACTAGCGAACCAGCAATTGAAGGTCCTAGATTTGCATCCCGCGCTTCGAGCAGTGTAAAGGTGCTGATTCGCATCTGCGCGCTGGCACCGTCTCGGTTTCCCGCTTTTGGAAGATTTTTGAACTGCGCTTGGATTTTTTATATATTAGATAAGTGACGTGAAATGAGATATTGAACAAAGGTGTTCAGACCCTTCGAGTCCAAAGTGCAAACATCTGATACGATAGAACCCAATGAAGTTTTTCGTGGAACAAAATTCGTTGTTCACGAGAAAAAACGAGCAGTTTGTTTTGTGCCAACGAGAGACAACATGTGTTTTGGGGATCCAACAAAGAATAAAAAACTTGAGAAACAGACATAAGGATTGACAATCGCTATCGGGAACATCAAAATTTTGCTTTCACTAACCTCAAAATAGAATCGATCATGGATTCCAACTCTATCTCACTAGGCAATGGTGGCGGGGTATTGGCTTGGTGTTGAGGTCCTGGGTTTTCTGCAAATAAAGACTTTTGAATTGAACAATCATTATCCCGCGATAAAAAATTATAATGAACCAGATAATGAATCGAATCAGGATGATTTATTTCATCGGGACTGCAAGCGTCTCGTACTGACTATATCATTACAAAGAACGTAAATCATGTACTGCTCATAAAAATTTCTTGATATTTTCAGCATTGGAAAGAGAGGGGGATCTCAGAAAGAAATCTGAGTCTCAGGAAAAACTCCAAAGCAAAAAAATCACAATTTTCTATAAACGCTAGATTCCCATACACTTACATGCCAAAAAAAATTTCGGAAG